ATGTTTATTTTTTATGTCGTTCACTTTTTGTTGTGTGTACAGTGCAAGGCGTCGGACAATTTGTCCAAGAGTACGGGCTCAACCCAGTCTTTTGGGGGGTTCACAAGAAAGAAGTTGCACCTCAAAGCAGGTTCAGACATAGGGAGTACGAGAATACAGGCTTTCTCTCTCTCCCCCGCCGATATTCACAACTCACTGTAAGTCGCAGGTATTCTGTACCTGCCATCATACTTATTATTGAATGTAACGGAATCTACCTTCAGAGGATACCTGCTTCTTGCCGGAGCAGACCTGAAAGGTCCATAGCACCTTAACTTGAAGCGAATACAACTTACAGGTCCTAGGCGGAGATAATGATAATATTAAAATGAACCTTGAACAGATCTCAAGGCCAGATTTAGTTTTACCGATGACGGTGTCCGCGCCGTCTAAGGCATGAAATGTCTTCGTCCGTTCAAACACTGGTATCGTTGGTTCGAATCCCACTTGAGGCATGGATGTCTGTATGCGTTTATTCTGTATTTATGCTGTCCTGTGTGCAGGTAGCGGCCTTGCGACTGGCTGATATCCCGTTCAAGGAACTCTACGGACTGTGTAAAAGTATGAAAAAACTGATAAACGGCCAAAAAACAACAATGTAGTGTATAGCCATAGATAAAAAAAATGAAAATATATGCTTTGTCAGTGAATTAAGCTCCTTATAGGAATAAATGCTTTTCATAGACAGAACGATATAAATAATCACACAAAGAGGTTATTTTAATAATAAGATCAAATTCCCAGAAACTTTTATCGTTTTCATATGTCTAAATTTTAATTACAATTGCTTTTACAGCTATCAAACTGTTGTCTGTGTCCAAGCTGCTTTTCCATTTTCAGCTTGGTTTCAGAATATAGGAGGGGTTTTTACAGACATGTATTGCGAATTACAAAAAGCCATTGTAGTGTGATGGTGGGTGGCTTCGGTCAGCTGCCGCGGGTAGGGGCTGCAGGGGATGTTTCCATCCAGGTGAGCTTAGCCCTCCTGTTGACCAGAGCATGCCAGCCCAGCCAATGTCCGTCATGTGTCGCATCTGTTCTTACCTTCGGAAAGGAGCTTATGTTCAAGGTTCGACCGTTAAATCTAGTCCAAAACTGAGAATTGAAACTTCCATTTCTGGAGCCGCGTGGCCATGTTGCCCACAGTACTGTCAGGGCAAAATAGCAAAGGGTCAGTAGAGAACTCACAAAAACATTAAGATCTGTGTTTCTCACGGCAGTGATCTGGAAGGGAATATATCCTGGGATATAACACCGTCTAGATCGGGGGAAGTAAACCGACATTTCGGAGTAGCGTACTGCCTCCATCTTCAGGGTCGAAGAGTAAAACAAGCAAATAACGACTTAAAAAGAGTCCAGTGATTGAGGTTAGGTCATTCTAGGGGAACAAAGAGATTAGGTGTCTCCCTATCCCTCACCTGAGAACAGAATTTCCTTACTTACTTACTCATGGAGCTGAGCCCTTCTGGAGGAGCCGCCAATTCTGCAGCTACTCAAGAATTTCCCAGCATTTTATGGAACCCGAAGGATCATTACAATATTCGCAAGAGCCCACCATTGGTCCCTATCCTGAGCCAGATCTATCCAATCCATACCATCCCATCCTATATCTCTAAGATCCATTCTAATATTGTCCACCCACCTACCCCTTGGTCTTCCCTGTGGTCTCTTTCC